GAATTCGCGTCACCGCACGTAAGACACTTGAGAGACGACGGGTCTCTTATCCGACAAACCTCAGCGTTTTTCAGGGTTCAGCGATCACACCATTCGTCCAGCCATTCGAGACCTTTAGCCGATCTTTATTCGCGTTTCTATCGTGTCCTTATGGCGTGGCCGTACTTATCGGGATTATCGAGGCATATCGTACCTTTCAGTTTTTCAAGTTCTCAGCGCGCTCGCAATGGCGTAGTCTTCTCAGTTCAAAAGAACAAATGAAATATCCAACGTTCAACCTTCGTTAGTGAAGCACGATGGAAATTACGTGATGTATTCGTTTATCAGACAACAATTAATTATCTCGGATTTCTTTCATGTTTTAATTAAAGCTCATATTTCCTCTTCGTATTTCTCGCATCGGTGAATTCTCTCTTTTATTTTCATCGTACGCGTTCGTTAATATTAAGATTCCACCGATCGACTTCTCCTACTTTTTGTCCCGAATAAATAACCAACGGGCATCCTACCGTGCGAATTAATTTTATGTTACTCGTAATGTAACGACGCGGCAGACACATCGCGCGATAGTTATGACGGTGAGAATCGCGCAGCTGCATATTCATGCGGGGATATAAAATCGAAACCAGAGACCGTCTCTCTTTCTCTCGTCCATGAGTCATCGGCGAATCCTCGCAAACCACTTCTCTGCCCGCTGCTCGCCGTCGACATCCGTGGTACATTGACAAAGTGGCGGCGAAAAGTGGGCAGAATGCGGCGGGGTGTCCGATTGACTCGTCGACGATGCGCGGAAAAAAAGGACGGATCCAGGAGCGGGACAAAGTGGTCCATCCACTTCTTCCAGTTGTCTCGGGATACAGCAGACAACTGAGCTGGAGAGGGGGGAAGGGGGAGAGGGCTGAAAAAGGAGATGAGGAAGACTGACGAGCGACGCAAAGACATCCGTCACCTCCGCGGCAAAACCGAGTGGCTTGAATGGTACTTAAACCAGCGCCTGTCCGTCAAACCTGCGGGAATTGTGCCGCGATAAAGCGGTTTCTGGATGCGACGCCGTACACGTCGAATTATCAGGGGAATCCTCCTGCTGGCGGCGCGGCGTTGCGCGCCAGGCAGCGCGCATTCAATTTCGATCGCGGACGTTTGCTGCGTGGGTATTTGTATAGCGCGCGGGTATAGCAATTTTCCTTCGCTCGCGCATCACGCAACGTCGTTCCGTATTGAGGATGAAGCATATGGCGGATTTGAAAATTAACGAGACTTACAGAAGGAGCTGCATTGTGCGAGTCGCGCGCGGTATATTCGGTATCGGGAATTTTTTCCGAAGCTATATGAAAATTGACGTCTTTTGCGAAAGTACAAAGATAGCCTAACCGCGCAAAGATATTTTTCAAGAATGTTCCATCCATCACAATGTCGTTGTCGTGCCATCTGTCATAAGCAATTATACAGTATTTACTGTGCAAAAAAAAAGCGCAGATGATGAAGTACGTTTTATATCTTAATTGCTGCAAAATTACATATATTTATTTTTCTTATATTCTCTCAACCATTATTAAATAAAATAATAATTATATTTTTATGTTCGTATTTATATCTCAAGAAAGTTACTCGCTAAAATATATTGAGAATCAGGGTATCACAAAAAATCTCTCATCTCTCGTCAATTTAAATTCTTAACTGGAAATCCGCTAGTCCATTTAGAAGAAACACTGCCTGGCTGGCCACATAGTGCGGCAGCCACGGTCTTCGTGGCCGTAAAAGACCGCAGGAGAGCGTCAGATAGCAGTAGCGACAAGCCGGCAAGTTGACGAGGTACTCTCCTCGTGGCCGGCCGAGAACCGATCATCACTGCGAGCTAGTAATCAGCTGCGAGCTCGCTCGCTCGCTACTTCTGCATCGCCTAGCCTCGCTTCCTTCTACCGGCCTTTCCATCCCCTCGTCCTCACCCATCTCGCCGTTTTCTTTCCACTCTTGTTTTCGCGAGTCCTCTGGACTCGCTTTGCTCTCGCTGAGCACAAATTGTCTTCCGAGAATGGCCGGTACGCTCGAGATTATAGTTCAACGTTCTTGAGATTATGACGGGGCGGTAGCCGGCCAAACCTCCGACATTGTTCCGTCTGTTTTGCGTATCCTTTGCAAGAGTTACAATTAAGATCCGTACTTATCGAACGCTCGTGTGCGCGCTCCTTTTCTCAAGTCTTTCGTCGCTTCGTTCTACACTACACTTCGATCATTCAAGCGTGTGGATTGACTATATATGACATACGTTTTAATTAATTGGTATATTCTTTCTGCAACGTTTTTTTGCAAAGATTTCCAACTTTCTAGTCTTTCGCAAGTTAAGAATATGCAACATCAGAATTAATAAGATAAAAGTGAAATTCTCGATGCTTTCAGCTGCCATATACGATGTCCGTGGACATCAGCAATCCTTCGGTGCTGAGCAGTTCCCTGAACATTTCCCAAGTTGGCGAGATACCCGTCGGTGATGTGCAAACGTGGGCCTTGTCGTTGCATTGCGGGCCCTACAACGTAGAGGTTGACTTCAGTCTCCGAATAAATGTCTCGCTACCGAGGAAGAACACCACCACTTTGGAGTTCAAGCGAAAAAAAATTTGTATGAAGAAAGAGAGTTACACCGAGCCCGAGGAGGTCCTCGTTGCTGCCTCTAACTCCACTTCTGGCGGTCAGCTTTTCTACGTGGGGATTGGCTGTGCGGGTGCATTCTTGGCGATTATCATCGTCTTGATTATCGCCTACTATGTGCGCGATAAGAAGACCAGGAGACATCGAGATCCTCTACAGTAAGTGAAACGTACCATTAAAGAGAACCGAGTAGTTGAGTAAATTTTTGAATATATACATATATGTATATATATATAAGATTTGTGAATTGCAGGGAATCCAGGGGACTCAGTTCAGCGTGCAGCATGGAAAGAGGCACCGGAGTGGGGCCTGCACAAACTTTTTTATCACCGGAAACACCTCCACCTACCTCCGCTGCGTCGGGATCGTCTTATAGAAGACTGGATGATCGTCCTAACAGAGAACTTCACGAACGAATCCAGGAAATCACTGTGCAAAGGTGATTATCACGTTTTCAACAAAATTAATTGGATTAAGTTAAGAAAAATTATTGAATAATATTCTTATATGGGACCCGATTGTCTGACAATCAATTTTTGGAGATAGATTATTTATTTGTGACAACAAACGTCATAAAAATAAATCTTTTTTTATTTACTTATAAATATCTAATACCGGAGAAATAGGTGAAAAATTGTAGAATTGAACGAAAGAATTAATCTTCCTCGCATTACAGATGCAGGGTGCGCCTTCTTAGTATTGAATTGGAGGGAACATTTGGGCGCGTGTATAGAGGCAGTTACCACGAAGAAGGCGCTTCATCCTCGAAGGACGTATTGGTGAAAACTGCTGCCGAGCACGCATCCCAATCGCAAGTAGGTTAATTTGAAATGATTCTCTCAAATCACGCTCTTGGGGATAATTATAATTGTATATTTATAATTAATAATATAATTATAATTATCAATATAGAAATATAAAATAAACGCGTATATTAGCTATTTTAATCATATTATCTTATTAAAAAACAGAATATCTTATTTATTACGAAGAGATAAGTCTCTTTTTTAAAATGTAGCCAAGATAATACATTTAAATATAATTTTTTTGTTTTGAAAAGGTGGCTCTTTTATTGCGAGAAGGTTTTGCCCTGTACGGACTAAGTCATCCAGCGTTACTTCCGGTTCTCGGTGTTTCTATTGAAGACCGAGGCGCTCCTTTTCTGTTGTACCCACACACGGGTTACAGAAATATGAAGAGATTTTTATTAAGGTGCAAGTATAGTAATGAAGGACCTCCGAGGGCTCTTACCACGCAAGAAGTGGTGGAAATGGCACTCCAAGCTGCCAAAGGTGTACAATATCTTCACAGAAAAAGGCTCGTTCATAGAGACTTGGCTGCCAGAAATTGCGTGTAAGTAAGAACAATAAGTAAGAACAATAAATCATTACAAGCTTTTTCGAGGTGTACGATGTAGACCTCTTTTAAAGCATAAATATATCCACTAAATATATTTTACATTAGTTCTAGATAAGTTAATTTACTCGTCTTATAAATCCTTGAGTGCCTCTAAAATTTTTACTGCTGGAGATATATCGCTTTTAATATAGCTCGGCCGGCTTCGGATTTTATATGGCTGTACAATAAAGTCCGTTACGTCTCGTTACCGAATTAATTGCGCGTAGACTTAATAACCGGTGTGTTACCGTAAGGCTTTAATTGCTGGTATCTGCCTGACTTCCATTCGGGGAAAGTATTTATAACGATGCGGTAATGAAATCGCGTGATCTGTGCTTCTCCGACACGACCGTCATCCCAAGTTCACCGATTTTTATCTTTCAGGGTGGACGATGACTTAAGAGTACAGATTACGGATAACGCCTTGGCTAGAGATCTGTTCCCACAGGATTATCACTGCCTTGGCGATAACGAAAATCGCCCTATCAAGTGGCTAGCGATAGAAAGTTTACTCAATAAGACCTTCACTACAGCTTCTGATGTGGTAAGTAACATTTACGAGTTTAAAATATTATAGAAAGAATGGAATAAAAATTAAAATACTATAGAATAATAATAAAAATTAAAAATACTATAGAATAAATATCAAATATTTTCCAATTTATCTGATATTTCCTTCTTGATGCTTTTATTTTTTGATAAATCAAAGTTTTAATTAAAGTCTTTATTCTATATTCACAGTTTATATAGTGCTAAACGTTTATACGGCGATAATGACTATTTTAAAATGATGTATGTTATATTGTGTTATTTTCATCATGATATTTTATGAAATTTTAGTGGGCATTTGGTGTTTTATTGTGGGAGCTAACGACGTTGGCACAACAGCCTTATGGAGAAGTGGATCCATTTGAGATGGCATCCTATCTCCGAGAGGGATACAGGTTGGCGCAACCGATAAACTGTCCGGACGAGCTGTTCGCAGTGATGGCGTATTGTTGGGCGATGTCAGCGGAGGAGAGGCCAACGTTTAGTCAATTGATTGTTTGTCTACAAGATTTTCACACTCAATTAACGCGATATGTTTAATTGAGCGTGCTCACTGGCTGTAAAGTACATAGGACTGAACTTTGCTATTAAGTTGTCTCCATTGAATTTTTAAACATATCGAAATTTTTATCCAAGGAATCCTATTGAGACTTCAATATAGGAACGTGTGTATATATCATATTCTAGTGCTTAGGTCCTCGTATAATTTAAGCATTTTGATAGCAGTCTGTATAGATATGATAGATTCTAATGTAATATAAATATACATCAGTTTTCGCTTCAAAACTGTGTAATTAAGTGGATCGCTTAAGAAGTAACTGCCAGTCAAAACTGAATTTAGAATAGAATTTTACTGTTGCGAAATGATTTTCATATAAAAAAAAAATTCTAAAATTTTAGTCACGCAGGAATATATGTATATTTCTAAGCGATACGTTCTCAAAACATCAAACAGGTGTAGTAATTAAGCACAGCATGTAAAAATCGCGTGAATTATTCATATTGTAAAAGTTAAGACTGAATTCCCTCTATTGCGCCATGTGTTTGGCGCTCGTTCGACCTGTGTCAACCATGATTACCAAAACCGGCGAGCACGATACGTCATCGTGCAACGCCAGTCCCATTTTCGGAAACCTGTACTGCCGGTGGTGAAACGGCGAATCTCTGAGCCATGTGATACGCGCTTTGCTTGCCTATATATGAGTGTGTTTCGAGTGTGCCAATACCTTCCCACCTTTTTTCTCTTTTGTATTTTTGTACATAATATATTTTTAAGCCGTGTGCATACGCGTTTATCGATGAGTATACGAATCGCGCTTAAACAAAAGAATCTCGTGTATATGTATATAATTAACATGTGTGTAGCGCACGAGACTATAATTGTACAAACTGCAGGCGTTGCGAGCCCAATAAATTTCTATCTATACGATACAGAATGACAGCGTCGTTACTTTTGTCCGCGTCCACCCTCTCACGAGTGATCCGTCACTACGAAAACAGTCGTAAACGTCATTCTTCCTAGCACGGTTTTAAATCGTTCACCGGTTATTTCTGGCGAGCCTTTCTTCGCGGTGAAAGGAAGGGTGCAAATGCGCTGTGTGGAAAGAGTTTCTGTTTTCTCGGAAACCGTTCGTCAAAGCCATATGTCACATCCTAAACGAGTCTTGTAATTCGTATGGCAGCAGTGCCAGTGTCGCGTGAGAAAATTAACGGCGGTCTTTGCGATGTCTCGTTTAAAATGACGAATATTATTGAATGCATATTTTCATACTTCCTTCATTTTTGTATAATATAATGCGTATATATTAAATTTATATGCTATTATATTTCTTTTTATAATTACAAATGAATAAATTAGGTAGAGTAACCATGAAAATATAATTTAAAACATTTTTAACCAATATGGATCATTCTTTAATCATATGAAGTATAAATAAGTAAGGAAAATTTTTAATCGTCATTGTGCAGAAATTTGTATCAACACAAAGCTTTTATTTGCATTTTACAGAGTACCTATATTATATCACATTTTATGAGTAATCAAATTACATTCAAATGAATAATTGTATCCATAATATTTCAAAATTATCGTAACATTTATAAACATCAAAATAATTGTATGGGTACGGGCAATTCATTGGCATATAAATGTATATAATGTATGTGAATTCGATATCTTATAAGCCCTACAATATAAATTGTTTGATTAAAATAAAGCTATTTTTATTGTGATTTATTCTTCTACTCGTAAAGCACGTATTGTAATATTTTTCCGTGGTTATGAATAATTCCACGAGATAAAAATATTACAATTTATTAAACATTTAAATGTATTATCACACTATCGAAATATACCGACGCCCTATTACCAAGCCCTTGTATTAAGCCTCCCCCCTTTCTTAGCTATAAATCGTTTTATCCGGAATTTAACGTTGTTCACTCGCTATTATGCGCTCTCTGTTCAATACCTACGAATGAGGACGCTTCGTGAAGTACGTTCCGTGGAAGCATGAACAGCCTTGGGCCGCCAGAACATTAATTTGTAGCATATTTACACTGTCAAGATACGTCTCTGCGTATATCGTCGGTGATTCCCCAATAATGCGAGCCCGATTAGGCACGCTACATTAGACACTCCGTTTTCTACGCTCCGTCGACGGTAAATGCTCGGCCTGCGAGAGCGGCTGAAGGGTGCTTGGAAAGCCGGAAACAAGCAAAAATACGCGCGCGTGAAAAAAAAAGACGTGTATTTATACAGTCGGCAGACAAACGCGTAAGGTTTAATTGTGCGAGAACAGCGGGAGTTCGCTTAGATACGGTTTTTACGATGCAGTCGTGTCGCGGCAGCCGTTTACCATCGAATACTTCTTGAGAAAACGAACAATCCGACGGAACTCGGAGAATCGGTTACAAATTAGTCACCGGCGCGTTTCGTTTCCTCGGAAATAAGCATACTTTGGTCATTCAGCGAAATACTCTTGCGCCTTAATGAGGATTTTGCGTCATTGCGCGACCGTGATGCTCGAGTCTTGGTAATCGCCGATCTTAGGAAGAGGATTTACGTAACGCGATATCCTGCAATTGCCTGCCGATCCGCCACTGCATAATTGCATCTTTGGCACGAACAATTTAAGCGCGGTCGCGACGTTCGACGGCACGAACGTTTGGCGCCTGCTATACGGTACGGCTGAATCATTATTCCATGAGGCACGAAATACGGCACAGGAAAGGGTGACATCATTAAAACTCTCTCTCTCATTTATCCATTACACAATTAATCTCACGTTGCTTTCAATAAACAATTACACCAAATGATAGAGATAAACTTTTTTAAACATTTTAGCGTCGCGATGATAAAAGGACCCCTAAGAACAAAGACAGTGATCGGGGGAGAGGCCCGTCACAGTTTCGCAGGGCTGAAAGGGGCAACAAGGATTTTAATGAATCTCAATGAGGCTCTTGCGCTCTTTGTTTGTGCTGGGATTTAGCCGTTGAGGGTGACAGAATTCAAAATTACTTTAGCGCTGATGTGCTGGCTGCAACGGGCCATAACGGGGTGCATTTTAGAGAGCGAACACTTCGCTCATCGTAACAGGCGCGAGATAATGTCATTCATGAGCATTCATCATACCCTCCACTAAGCTATTCACGGCGAATCATTATTAGAGCGAACCTTTGTTCAGCGCGAAAGTAAGTGTATATACTCTCCAGAAAGTAACAAACGTTGTAGTACGCATATATTACTCTCGTTTCTGTTTGGTAATCACATATTGAAATCGCACACTTCTAGACATATTAAAAGATAAATTGACTCGGCAAATGGATCTCAGAAATTTATATACATATAATAGCTTGTGTTTCTCAGAAGATAGAATTAATTAGTAATATAAAATTCTTATTTGTCAATTTCTTCCATTAACAATCTTATTTACATATAATGGTCGTTTATTTATATTAGTTACAAGTATCCATGAATCTCGCGATATTGATCTCAGGAAGCAATTAAAATCACTGGTCCGAATCCTTCGAGAAAGGTATTACTTGCTTCTTCGAGACCATCTTTGTTACGCTTTACGAGTCGGAGGCCATTCCAATTTTCTACAATAATGATTGTCATCACTATATATACATCCGCTTTGAGTATTTATCCCTTCCTTGAAACAACTTGTACAGTGACAGAAGTATTTTATGGAAAATCAGTGTCGCCTGTGTATTGGCGAAAGAACGATGAAAATGCAAACGAGAATAATTCTCGCCGGGTGTTTTGCGATCATAATGTTTAACAATTTTGGTACAGGTGTCGAAGTTTCGTCAAAGATCGATTTCGATTCTAATGAAAATAAAGAGACATTAGCCAACCCCACCTTGAGCACGACTATAAATCCAAGAAAATCTATTAGTCCACCGGAATCAATTTTGCGTGCACCTAAATCATCGACATTCATCTGGGATCATGGAAGCGAGCTCGTAAAAGCAAGTGAACCGAGAAAAAGAAGGATCTATCCATCGTGCGTGAGTAACAGACGTCATAAAAAAATAATTACCCAGTTTCGCAAGTTGCGAGTTGATATTCAGTTTTGTACAAGATAAATAACACATATGTTTTAAAGTTGCATCCATTTAGTAGTTATAACATGTAAGTCACTTAGATATTAGACTTGTGCATTATGGCTATTTGGTTCTTCAAGAAAATAGCAATGTCACAAAGTAGTTGATTTGATAGCTTTACACTTTACATATATCCATAAAATAAAACAAAAAGTAATAGATAAAGTGTAGATTAATTATGCAATAAAAAATAATTCTAAAATTAGATTTAACTTAATGTAACGCTTATGTTTAATTTAAACTAATTTTCTATTTTTCTAGTTAAAATATTCGTATTTGCATTATATAAATTGTATAAGTTATGAAGTTAAATTAATAATTATAGATATCAATCGTTTTTATCTTGCAGGCTGTGTAAAATAAAATTAAGAAATAATGCAATTCATTTGATCAACGAAGTCCAAAAAATATGCAATGGAATTGACAAATTAGAATATTCGTCAAGAATAATATTAATTCAAGTCTGTATTGCGCGATCATATATTAATGCTACATATAAGCATTAAATTAAATTCAGTTTAAATCCAAAATTAAAATTAAATTAAAACATTTAATATAATTTAAAAAGAAAATTATTTTTGTATTCGCATTATTATTCATCTTTTAATTTTATGTATATCAAATGTAGAACCATTAAGCTATCAAATCAGCTACTTTGCAACGTTACAATTTCCTCGAATAACCAGTCGTGAATATTTATTACTATAATACAGTGCATACGTTTTGAATATACTCAAGATTAGTGCAATTTCATGTGTTAATTTATGTGTGAAATATTCATGATATCGAGTATATAAATATAAGTTAAAAATTCATCACATTAAAATAATTTGATAAAATAAATAATTAACCACATTAAAATAGACGTTAAACTAACGAATGAATGTGCTGTTAGATAATTTAAGACTCAATTTTATTTCTTTATTTTAACGTTGTCTTATATTTAACACATTTAAATAATTTTCTGTATTAAGAACTCTTATAGAATCCCGACCAAATATTATAAAAATTAATTATTTTATTTATATCAAATATTATCTCATTATTATACAAGAAAGATAATTATATCATACAACATATCGATATTAAAAACTATTGCAGCTCTTTTAAGATAATGCGACAATTAACTCGTATTTTTTGCAGGATGATTCGGCAAAACAACAAAAAATAATCAATAATATTGAAGTCGTTGTGAACAGTAACGATAGCATACCAAACGGAGATTCTTGCGAACATGGTATATGTAATGTATCCGTTTCTTCGAAATCGGATGAAAATGGAAATATCATCACCGAGGTGCATCTCAGCATTATCACGAAAGCAAAACCGAACATTAAGATCGATGATGTCCCGGTAATCAATGGTTTTCGAGGTATTAATGAGGATAAGCAACCTGTTTTTCATTCAATAAATTCGCCACGTTCAATGCATATGCATTTTCATCGCAACAATATTCCACAGGTGATAAAGTTTGTTATATAAGATGTCTTACTGTATACTGCATGAGAATTAATATTATAGTAATTAAAACTTATTTTTGATGATCTATAATTTGCGTTTAAATTTTAGATAAAAGTTTATTTATATACCATTTAAATATATTGTTTATTTTAAAATATTTAGTTTATTTTATATGGATATGTATTTTGTGATTTTTCGAATATTTTTTACAGCACATAAAATTCTAAACAGAATTTTATCTTTTTAACAGTTTGACACAAATTATATAAATCATCTAAAGTGAGTTTAAAAAATTTCTTATAAAACTTCATTAGCTAAAAAGTGTATTTTTTTCCTATCGTAATAGATTCAAACTACTTATCAAGGATATGGTGAGCCTTGGTATGGACGGACATTTCGACGACCACAAATATATTGGAATTATCATTTTGGAGATCACGGTAACGTGGGATTTCGGGATCGTAAAACATGGCCGCGAGATAAACCTATAGTCGATGATAAAATTGAACCACCGCTTAGTAAGACCAAACCCAGCGACGATACAACATTATAAAATTATTTATTAAATTGTAAAGTTTTTGTGATGTAAATATTGCTATACAAAATAATATTGGATCGTGTTATTAAGAACAATTTAATTGTCACGTAGTAAAATTAAAAAATCATTGTAAAAGCGTCAAGAGTTTAATTTATGCATTACATAATAGATACAACAATATGAATATATTAAAGCAAGTAATTAAATGCAGAATAGTCGTCAAGAGAGTGTTATATGCATTCGATATTACTCAAATAGAATATAACACTAACGCAAGAAAGCTTATTGAGATTTTTAAATATGTATCACTCTTGCTCGCGAACGGATAGTAAAAAAATCAAGCTACTAACAATTATAGAAAATCATATAAAAGTCATAACTTTAATTTTATAGAGAGAATCTATTAGTTCTAAGAAACTTGAGTATTTGTCTGGCAATCTTAAGGAAATATTTGAGTCGGAATTTTGAAAATCCTCTGTCGCAATCTTTTTTTTGTAACAATTTTGAATTTTGAATTATAAAATTTTATCATTATCATGATAACACCATATATAGCACGATAGTAAATTAATGATTATAAAAATAGGCACAATCATGGCCGTAATTTAATTAATCGTGCACAGTGCGGTAAGAAACTCTCCCATTATCATTAACGCCAGTAACAGACGACTTATGATTAATCGGCTTGCCGTCCGGGCCGGTCTGGCTGGAGGAACTAGAACTAGCGAATACTCCGAAACTGTTACCCGATGGCGGAGGAAGATCATCAGCGAATCTGGACTCTATTCCTGGAGCAGCCTATGATGGCGAGATCGCCGGTAATAAAGACTATATTCAGAAGACTGCAATCTGATTGTGTGCAAAATGAAGCGTGTTAACTGGACAAGTTCTGTATTGCCGTTTTTTGGTGCTGTAACAACTCAAAGCGTAAGACTTACAGGACTGATTTGGCCAGTTTGGAAACCACCGTATGGGCCTAAGCCGATGCTGGCACTCGCCACCTGCGGTACGCCGCCACTGTAAGGATTCCCGTAATTTCCGTAATTTCCGTAATTAGGATCGTTGGCTAAACGATTGTGGAGATCCATATTGCTGTACAACATAAATTCCTGTTTACAATGTGCTTTACGAATCTATATGAATGACAACTTGCGATCGCATTTCAAAAGAATAATTATAAATATTGGATGCAAATGCTTTTCCTTAGTCTGCAAAATCACGGACGATTATTAAAGCAAAATGATACTCGGGAAGAAACATCACCGAAGGCGTAAACAGCATAAAGTACAAAATTTTAGTAATCAATTATAGAAATAAGGCATATTTGATTATATAAAACACTTAGATAAAAAGTTTTACTTTAAATTTAAAATAATTCAATAAAAAATGTTCTTTGCACACTTGTTAATAAAAACAATCTGGAAGAACGCATTTAGACAGGAAAGAGATCTATTTTAATTGTGTAATAAACATGAAAAAAATCTCTGATGTATTAAATGTTAAAACAATACTGAGATTGTATAAGAGCAATTTTAAATGTAAATGATTTTACAAATATAACTTCGGGGAATTCCACTCGACTTACAATAGTTATGCTTCGAAGTGTAAAGATCAGTCATTTGCAACTTATATTACTTGGAGACTTACGCCTGATGTTGCGCCTCGATCTGCGCCTGAATTTGTTTAATCATGTCAAAAGTGGGGTCATTGAAATTAGGAAATTGCCCTGGGTAAAAGTATCCGGGTCCTGCGTTATTATACAACGGATCTGCGAAAAATAGAGTACATGATAAGATACAAATAACGACATCTATATATACAGCGTGAAAATCATGCATTTACATGCGATTATATTCAGTTATAAATCACATAAGTTTACATAGACTATCTAAGTATAAGTATACCTAAATAAATAAATAAATAAATAAATAAATACATAAATAAATACATAAATAAATAAAAAATAAATAAATAAATATATAAATACACGCATACAAATAAATATATATACATATACATATATATATAAATGTACAAACGCACGCGTATATAAATAAATAAATATATAAACGTCGAAAACTATTATCACCGACATTAGTCGTTTTACATAAAATACAATTCGGTTTGACAAAATATCATGCATTTTAAAAAAAGCATAATATCAGCACGACTTCGCCAAACAAATTTTGAAATACGTAATTCTAATATCTCTCTCCTTCGCCTTTGATATCCAATTGGTTTCATTTTTCTGCCGATCTTTTACAAACATCGAGAAACGTCTAAACCACAGCATGCAACCCCAATTCATTCATTATCCTCCAAAATTCTGAGTCAGTCTTCGTCCTTGGATTTTTGGGTTCATGCTCGTACCTCCGCCGAAGTTCTGGTTTGGCGAGTTATCCCTGTTTGGTGGATTATTCTGGTTCGGTGAGTTATCCTGAAATCCTCCTCGACTACCGAAAGATGGATCTCCCGTCGGTGATCCCGGCGTGGGATATGACGGTGTGGGGTATGACGGCGTAGGATATCCTGGTGTAGGATATCCTGGGGTAGGATATGGCCCCATTGGATATCCCATTCCTGGATATCCAAAATTTCCGGTAGACGCGCCTGCGCTTGCGGACGCGTATCCGGGCCCGTTGTTTGTCCACGCATAGTTTGGGTTATAACCTGGTATAGAGTTGAATCCTGGATAACCAAAATAGGGATCGAAACCTGGACCGCCAAAGCCGTATCCAGGAGCGCCAAAGTATGGTCCGGGAGTTGGCCCTTTGTCCTTAGATGGTCCAGGTTTCTTAGTGGAATCTTCGGGTTCGGGTTCGTCAATGTTCGAACGTGATTGAATGTTGTTTGGTTTCTTCGGCTCGGGCGTTGGTTTCGTGCTTTCTGGAGTTGTCGTGCTAGGCGTAGTAGTGGATAGGGTTGTTGGAGTAGTAACGGAGGTGGATGTGGGAGTACTGGCGGAGGTGGTGGTCGGCGTAGTCGTGGGAGACGTCGCCTCTGTGGTAGTGGTGGGTGTAGTGGTTGGTTCGGTGGTTGTAGGTGTTGTTGGAGGTGTGGTCGATGATGGCGTGGTTGATGAAGGTGTGGTTGATGAAGGTGTAGTTGATGATGATGTGGTCGATGATGGTGTGGTTGTGGGATCTGTTGTCGAGGAGGTCGTTGTAGTTGCTTGATTGGTGGTACTCTCACCATTCGAATCATCGATTGCTCGCTTCAACCTGGACATCGCGGCGAGACTGGCCGACGGTCTATCGTCGCGTAGTCCTCCATCTTCGAGAAGAAATGAAAACAAAAGAACAAGTCTTTAACGAGATACTTTGTTGCTACTGAGATGAAACTCGTATGGTTGATGATTCTCGGCTACTGGTTGAAATAGCATTGTTAGTTGTAACATATGCCTTGTGACCATATCTCGGAATTCCATCACCAAAGACACGCAACAATATGCCAGATGTGTTACTAGTCACATTATAATGCTTAACATAACAGATAATGGATAACACTTAATAAATGTATTACTGATCACAATATTGCGCAAATAGTAATGTTTAATAAAGGTAATGGTTGTGCTTAGATATATAACTTATAAAATACCGTATAATATAAAAAGTTTTATAGGGACATAAATATCATAAAAAAAAACGATATTTAAAAGTCATTAATATAAAATATACGACAATTGAAATCCTGGTTCTTTAGTCCAGAATCTTAAACTGCTTATAATACTATCCATCGGTCTATTAAATTGTAAAAAATTTGTCAATTAAGATAAATTTTGTAAACAAATTATGTTATCGCTTATTTCTCTTCAGCAAAACGTATAAGTAAAGAATGAATAATAATTGAATTATGCGCGATACGTGACATTAATCGTGAGATATTGAAGTTCTGCAGTCACGTTAATTTGATAAACCACGTACTTAAGGCATTTCTTTTTCGATAACATCCTAGCGTTCAAGATCACGTCCGAAAAGTAAATTGATTTTTATGCAATATGTTTTATCTTATCATCTCATCCTATATATTTATTAGTATTAAATATAGCTATTAAAATACTTTTAACTTACCTTTCTGTTATTCTATTATCTCTACTATACACACATATTAAATTTTCATTTTATATTACAAAATGTGTTACATTCCTCCTGTTTAAACAGAAGTAAGCACATTTTGATAAATCAATTAGCGCCGTATATTTTATATATTTATCAATATGATAGGAATAAGGACTCATGCACAAGGAGAAAAATAAGGAACAAGGAATTAAACAGAGAAAATTCCGTCTTGAAAAGAGAGGAAAGACCGTGTCTTGAAAAAAATGCGACTATGAATTCTCTCTATGTTAATTTCCTTGTTCCTTATTTCTCTCATTGTGCATGAGCCCTAATCGTGTCGTGCGCGAGAGATTATGAGAAGATAGTGAAAAGAAAGTATCTTCTCATGAGTCAAGGTGAAGAACGAAATGAGGTCACGGTCTGCGAGCGTCAAATTATTTTCATTTGGCTAGCAGTTGTGTGAGCGGTTACGCATATGTTTATATGCGCAGGCGAGCATGCTGCATCATGGGACATCAATCTTGGTTATCATAATTAATATCGCTTATAACAATCGCGATAATTTATTCTTTTCTTTTTTTTTCAAATAAAGAAATATTGTTAATATTAATGAATAACTAGTTTTAAAAAAGAAGGAAAGAAACTAAATGTGCGTAAATTGTAGCACGCAAATTAACATATTTGCATAAATTATCGTAAATTATTATAAATTGTCACAAACTACTGGAAAATACTTGTTTAGTGACCTATCGATGAGTCATCGGAATGTCTTTGCAAAGATTTTTAGCAAGATTTTAGACTGTTTGCAGAAAAATTAACGTCGTAAATAAAAAATTATCATCTTGCGCCGCGGCGCCATTCATTTTTCAAAGTATCTCTTCTACAATCGTAATTTCTGAATGTTTATGTAGAAAGAGAATGTCAGCAGCCTGATAGCAAACCTGCTCTCGGTGTTGATTAAAATCATAAAATTATATCCGCGTGTTATCGAATTCGTCGATGGAATTTTGCCGCGTTTGCTAATCTTGCAATTATCCTGAAATTCCCGCGCACCGTCAGCTATTTCTACTTAAATGCACGACGTTGCCATTATGTAACTTAACATTAGCTTTAATTTTTATCAACCTTGATGTATGCAACATGCAATGTCTTTTGAATAATTTTATTGGTTAACGATTAGTAGTGCAGAACTAACTCGAATTTATTTACATATCATATTGCACATCTGTTTGTATAAAACACTAAAAAGATTACCTGATAAAAATGGTTGAAAATGAGAAAAAAAATAAAGTGTTATTACGCATCGAATTTATGATTCTTTTAAACTGCGATGAATATATTGCTTCCTAGTACGTAATTTATTTTTTGTTCTCATAAATGTTAGTATACTTGCTCTAGTAGCTAACATTTATAAGTTAAAGAAAGAATATTCTCACACAAAAATATTTAAACATTGAGCTTGTAATTTAATTGTAAATCTTAATTGCGGAAAACAATTAATGTCAGAATGTTTAAGGTATTCGAACATACAATATCACGTTAGTAAACAAGTAGAACACTGTTAAATTCGCTCATGAGTGACAAAATAAAGCTTCACGATTGCTACTCACTTCCATAAGGATAACCATAAGGATAACCATAAGGATAACCAAAGGCGGATCGGGCCTCCGTAAAGGATCCTAGGACAGCAATGAAAGCAACCAGCGCGAAGATCCTAATATCCATCTTTCTGATTGTATCGTCGATCAGTCGGCGAAGTAAGTCAACGAGGAAAAACTGAGAAATACTAATGCTTATGTATATTACTTGTTATTTATATATCACCACAGTATATCGCGTAAAAACCGAATGATCCTGATGTTGTCGCCGTCTGCGAAAGAATGACTGACTCAGCTGATGCCGCGATCATCTTATATAGCATTCACTCGTATCGGCACTTTATTACCTCCTAGCGTTACTCTTCCTTGCGTTAGTGCGTTCGCGCGAGAACTTCAAAAGAAATCCTTGTTACAGCAAGATTACTATGTAATGCAATTTATTATCGTCATTTTGGTAAAAATTTCCGAATAAAATAATTTCTCTATTTTATCATTTTATATTGCATTAAATAATAAAATATAAATATCTTTAAGGTATGGCTGTAAGATATTGACGTATTTACTATCTTCTTCTTGTGTTGAAATTTTTTATATAGCTTTCGATTAAAAAAATGGATTATTAAAGCTTATTTGTAAAAAATAAAAACCAAAAGATTTTTCTCATCTTATAGTTTGCAAATTACCCATGTAAGTCAGTAAATTGCTATAAAAAATTTATCTTTTGTTCTTAAATAATAACATTTTTCATAGATATGCCGATATTTTAAGTTACAAATTTGTTTAGTAAGCAAGATCGATTAATAACATTTATGTTTCTTTGTTTCTTTGTTTTATCGTTCCGCGTCTTTTCAATTTGAGATATTGCTGCGAATTCTGCTTAGCTTAATAGAATGAAATTGCTCAGACCTTGACAGTGATCTTGTTCCCAGTATTATACCACGCAGCCCCAATTCTTGTTAAACTGTTTTTATTTGGGAAAAACACATGTTTTCAGTTCTATAACTTGCACCGCGATAACCCTGCGATAACAGCAGCGTAAGTAAGAAATAATCTTGGATGGCGGAAACGTTACTGTTGATTATCGATATGTAATTGCAGGATACATTCAATATCGGAATGATACGTTCAACAATGTACTGTAAAGGATTTTTCCATGTTGAAAAACCAGAACGTTAATTATATAGTTTTTCATTCACACGAGCTTTTAACGTGCACTTGCACTTATGAGACTCAAGTTATTGTGTCCATACGGAATTGCAACAAATTAGAGAAGCGAGGTATTTTTCCACAGTGTTTGTAGATATATTTGTTTCATAGTTACACGGAATACATCAGAGAATATATATTTACTTTTATTTATAGATTATTTCATCAACATAGAATTTATTTTTCTATAATTTAAGATTTATTATTATTTCTTAATTTTTAGAACCCGTTCTGACGACTTTCTAAATGATGTACAACCTGTTTCATCACGTAATGCCTATCCCGGAAAGCTTTTATTTTTCAATTATGTATATCTCGGACGCTATTAATACTGATCGAAATAATCGATATGTTTTTCAATTTATTTCTTAGTCCTTACGATTGAAAGGAAACACAATAGATATTATCCAGACTTAGACAGTAAGTGTTGCTACTTAAAATATCTTTAATATCTCTTTAAGATATAAGAATATATTTCTCCGTGACCTATCACATTCTGCATAATCTGATTACAAGTAAGCTTCCTTTAACTGTGAAATCCATTGTACACCGCGTATATATATTCATCGCCATCAATCATTCATTTTTTCAGTGGTCGATATTTCATCCAATATCGCCATTAACAGCGACAATTTGCGCGTAATTGTTTTATAAATAATAATAGCCTGTCATTGGATGATCGCGGCCGGTTTCCACATCCTGCTAGATGTGATAATCGATCCAGGATAATCGCAAACGACTCCGTCGTTCTCTGATCCCCTTAAACCCGCGCCCGAAGCTCGAACGTGCATTTTCCAATCAATCGATCAGGGTAATCCAACAAACGATTGATTATCGGCTAGCAGCTAACAAATTAGTACCCTCTCAGTTACATTCGCGGAACTTCTATGCGCAGTAGCGTCTCATTCAAACGAATTATGGTCAGCATGAGTAAAATGTCTTAAATGCGATAAACCGCCTTTTACCCACGATATTGTTGCTCGTTAGTCACGGCCCAACGTGACTCAGGCGTACATATCTTTTAAATAAGTGATAAAAATATTCCATTCTGTTCGAAAGATGGTGCAACGGAGAAATGTTAAAAAAACGAAATGTTAACGTTAATACCGCGACAAGCTGATATTATTCAAATTACAGAGAAATTTGTATTTTTGTTTATAATATTATTACATTGATACATAAAGACGAATCTCTCTGTATAATGTTACGGAGTTATTTTCTATTTCCGAAAAGGACAAGTGTGCATAATGTCTTTCCTATTTATCTCTTTCAAAAGTAAAATTGTTAATCATGTAATAAAAATAAAATTAGGCTTCTCTTGAACAGATACTCTTCATTCGCGCAACAACCTTATTTATAATTTGTTGAGTTTTGAATAAATAAAAGCCTAGACATCCGAAAATCTTTCCCAACATTTTTCAATTGCTCGTAGCCTTGCTAGGTAAACTAAACTTTTTTCTTTTTTAAATAATAGAATGACGCGCCTGCTCGGGAAATACCCATCACGGAACTTGATTACCTTCTACGCAATAATCTGACAGCTGCTTTGCTCCTTCCTGACCGCCCCATTGTTTTCGAAAGTAAGATTCGTCTTCGAGTAAAGCAAGCGTGATTACTATGGCCAAATGCGCCTATATTTTGTATGTGGATTCTGTTTAAAGTCTAATCTGTTTAAAGTCAAATTCTATGCAAAATTAAATTTATATAAAATATGTACCTATATAAAATGTTTGCAAATTAAAACTATTGGAGAATGCAATCATAAAGTATCTTTTAATGAATTGTGACAAATTAAAGCGATCTGTGCTTATAAATTACAAAACATTACAAAGTAGAAAAAAATTCTCTACCGATTCATAATAAATAACGGAATATATAATTATTAATAAAAAGTATTTCCCTCGAAAATAGCAACGATTCATATTCATCAATAATGATTTCTATTAACTATAATCCAAAGCACAAATTAAGAAATGCGCAGTTGCATTCCACAAAATAATGTTGACCTTATATCTGTGTTTCAAGTTCATGACAAAACAAAACATGTTTAACCTTTGATCACCTGACTCATTGTCAGTAAATATTTCGTATAGCCTTCTATTTAGATTTTATGACTCGTTATGCATTATTAATGACAGAAAGACGTGCCATTCTTTTTCTAAAGATCATCGACCTCAGCATATTCAGCCATTCTGACACAATGATCAGCATTCAAATAATTCACATAACTTTCTTTTACGGATACATTTAATTACGAGTAATCGATCGAAGAAACGAGTTCGTGTGTAATGCAATCAAAGATTACGTCAAAGAATTTAAATGCATTACAATTTTCTTTCCCGGATATTCGCCATTGGCAGTGACGAATGTTTACGAAAAATGCAAGTTTCGTTACGCGAAACGTTTCGTAACAGATTCATTGTATATTATTCATTGTATACTTCTCAGTAATATACATACAATTCACGAGACGCGTTTTCACGGGATTTATCTGTTGCGCAGCAAACAGAGAATGACTGTGTACATTCGTTTTTCTCATTATTCATAGGAAATTTTTAAAGACTGGAATTTTTATGAGCTTTCAGAAATTCTGGTAAGTGGTAAAAATATTCTTAATACTTTTTGAACCATTAGACGATAACGTTTTATCTCTTTATCATGGTAATGTACTTATACATGCAAAGAAGTAACAAGAGTGGACCATTACCTTAGACAAAATATATGGAGCTAATAGTAAAACTTATATTTGTTTGTTGATAGTGCGAGATTTATGTTTTTCCAACCTTATATAAGTTGTGAGTACCTAAGAAAATTCAGTCAAGTCTGTGTCTTGCTTAAGTACTAACTTCTACTTAGGTACTTGTCGTTCGAGAAATTCGTCAATCGAAATCATGAAGTGGTTTCTATTAGTGGCAATATTTGCCGTTGCGCAACATCAAGGGGTAACAGGTAACAGATAATATATTTTGTTGTACTTTTTCTGTCGTGATATATTACTCTATAATCTTTTGTATAATATAAATTATTTATTAAAAAATAGGCATGGTAAATTAATTGCTCACCGCTCTAAAGTACTGAAATAATTTAAAATTCATGTGATTGTTCAAATATCGTTTAAACAACTAAAAATTTGCGCGGTTGTTTATTAATATATAAGTAAAATATTATAAACACAAGATAATTTACGTCAAGAAAGATTGTGTTTGAAGTTAAGCCCCCCACGAGGTGTCAGGAATATTTTCATATCTAATGCATGAATATTGTGTGAATCACACGAGTAACATCATAGATAAACAAAACGCAGAACGTAAGATATCGTATGCATTTTTGATAAACCGCAGATAAAGAGAATGCCGACAGATAAGTAATCGATTACGCATATGAGTATGATAATTATTAATTCTCGTGATTTATACGACCATATTGATAAATCAGAATAGTAATGTATCCGCTAAATATTCCGCGAGAAATGCCGCAAGCGAGAATATCTTTAATTAATCGTTAATTCTCTTCCTTGTATTAAAACAATGATATCTATTGTGCATACGAAATCCGATAAATAAAATCAAATAAAAATAATTTATATCCCGGAGCACAAAGAAAAAAAAGAAAACGAAATTTTGTGTAAAAATATAAAATTTAATGTGATAACGATTGATAAAACATGTATATGATTTTCTTCAACCTTTTAACTCATTTTACATGATCTATAAGATGATCTATAAGATCAATTTTTCAAGATAGAATTCTACTTAACACGCCGTGTATTTTATTATATATAAGTGTATCTTAATACATATTTTATATATGACATATTTATTCTAATGTAAATATTTATTCTAATAATTCAAATATTTTTTATACGAGTAACGGCGAGGAAGCCACGTAAAATTATAAACAGAATTGAGTTATTTTATTTAATTCATCTTGAATTCTGACGTTAATTATAGATTACCTAAAAATGGCTATAAATTATGTAAACTATTAAAATTAATATAATTAATGGCTTCTTGTGTCGATTGTGTCTAACAATTGCTGGTTTTTATAGTTTCATATACATGTCTGAGCTATAACATTTAAGCTGCATCTTTTTTCTTATATTGCATAAACGACATTGCTGACCAATAATGCATTAAATATGGTTCGTAATGTATAAAATGCTAATTATAATGCATAAAATCTTAATTATAACGCCACTGTCACACAGCTCAATATTATACGAATAATAATGATATTTTAAAAATTAAATTTTGTTTTCTTGACAAATTTTTGATAAATCTTTGATAAATTTTTAATGTATCTTCATTAGATAAAATTTAATAGAGATGTACATATTTTAGTAGTACATATTTCCTTTTTTATTTACAAAGAAAATAAAAATTAATATAAATATGTATCGTAATGTAGGTTTTCCCCGAGATGTCTTCGGAGTCTCCGACCACGTAGAAAGGATTGAAAGGGATCGTGACGAAACCTATACACTTGAAGATATAAAAACGAAATTAGAAGACTTGACCAAATCCCGTCCAAATTCATTAAAGAACGCGCAAGCGACCGGATTTGTTCCACTTGACAAACAATTTGCTGCATTTAATATTCCAATTTTGTCTAAAGCTGTCGATGATATATCAAACGTATTGGGACGCCTTAAATCCAGTTACGAACAGAAGATCTTGAATATCGAAAATACCGTCAAAAGTAAGTTTTTGAAATGTATAGGGTAACTGGGGGGGAATATGCCACTCGTTATATTTAACAAAGCTACGGCTAGGAGCGTTGTTGTAAATACTGTGAAATTGTTAAAAATATTATATCTGACGTTTTGCCCAAGTTTTACTTACTTCCTGTCAGTATTATAGTTTTTATGGGGTAAGTACAATATGACAAGTATGACAACATGCTGCTTAGAATTTTCTTAGTGTTTGATTGAAATTGTAATAAAAATATTCTTTTACATGTTTTTAGACAAGAATGCCCTTCTAAAGTTAAATTACTATACATTTTTGTATATATGGCATATTACCCCCACATGGGAGTAATATGCCACTTTTGCAACACTTTTGTATTTCTTTCTTTTTAATAGTAAAGAATCAAAATATTTCATTAGAACCACATATAAATAATAGATAAAAGAAGGAAAAAAAGACCAGTATGCCTTTATACCTCAAAAAGAAAAAGAAATAGGAAAAAAAATCAAATTTTTCTTAAGTATGGCATATTCCCCCGAGTTACCCTACTGTTAGAAAATTTGTGTTAAATATAACATAAATCACATGTCCAAAACGGTCCACTCAAATTTTTGTGTCAGTTTAACATAATATGGATGTATTAAATGGTAACATTGATACTATGTTAAAATATTTTAACAGAAAAAAAATGTTATTCTGATCGTAATTTGAGGTTAATTATGTGTACAATTAACATAATTTTTATGTTAAAGTTAAGATTGTAAGATAAAATCAACATTCTTCTTCTGTAAATTTTTATTCTTACTTCTGTTATAAAGTAAAGTCAACACTCTTTTTCTGTAATTTTTAACAAATTTAATAAATACGTTTAAATTGTGTTACTTTAACATATTTTTTAAATTATTTTAATAATTTTACATTTTACATTTTACATTTTAAATTTGTAAAGTTTAATTAACATAGAAAGCATATGTTAAATCTACACACGAATATGTTGATTATTTTACACAAAAATTTCAACAAGGACCTTTTTTAACACAACTAAAAAAATTTTCCATAGGTACACAATACTATAAAAGATATATCTATCTACTATGAGTTCATTCTAGCACGGAAAGAACAGTTTTGCTGAAGTATCTAAAAATTTAGCTAGATTCAGATCTGAAAATAATTTTGTTGCATTGCACCATCAAAATAATTATAGTAGATCGCTGAAGTATATGATGATAATCCTCTAAAAAATTTTTGACATTTTAACAATCAGTTTGAGTGTTCTACATAATTATTTTGATGGTGCAACAAAATTATCTTCAGATCTGTATCTAGCTAAATCACGGGCATCATTCGTCCTTGTTTAACATTTGTTTTAAACGACAAAAATCAAATGATCTAAGAGAGTTGCGAGCATGAAGTGGAACACACTTTATACATGAACAGGCACATAATAATTAAGAATTTGTTTTAATAGGCAAATATGAACATCTAAAAGATCTTGTTACAAAAGGCAAGGCTACAAAAGATCAATCGGGACTTGAGAATGTCGCATCAAGCAATAAAACACAAGTAAATACACCTCAAACAGCCTCTACACTGGACGAATCGGAAGTCAATCAACAATCGAATATATTTGGTCGTTCCTTAAACATCCCATTAGTTGCTTCCATTCGGAGTTACTTATCTGACAAAATAGAAAACATAAAATTGAGTTACCAACGGATAAAAGAGATGACATATTTGCAAAATGTCATCGACAGTAAGTTTTTGAAATTTATACATAATGCCATAATAAAAAGTATATCTATATGTACTATATGAATGGATACACGATAATTTGCTTTATTGTAGATGCAAAATATTATATTGATGTTCTTAAGAACAAGTTAAACAAGAATACAAAAGATCAATCGACACTTGAAAACATCGCATCAGACGATAAAACGCAAGAAAATGCAACTCAAACAATCTCTATACTGGACGAATTAGTTAATCAGCAACCTACTCCAGGTGAAAATGACAACAAGAAAGAGGAGTCTGAAGTTGACAAAGAAATCGAAGGTAAGTTTTT